AGGAAAAAGTTTAGTTTGAAAAGCGACTTCTTTTTTTGACTTTTTTTCTCTCTATTATTATTCTGCTATAGGATGGTACAGACGTGCGCCTAGTGAATATTTCTGTGTATCATTAGTGGCCGACACGCTGTACTTTTTGTATGCTGTGTTTACATGTTATGCTATGCCATGTCTAACATTAATGGCAATTATTTATCTTTGGGTATGGTTATATGTACTACGTCAAACAGCAACATCAACAGCACAACGCATCTCAACAATAAATCGTGAATTTAATATGTTAAAGCGTATTATACTACCATTGGCAACACTGACCGGCTTAGCTATACCCTATGTGATTCTCTATGCTTATGAGAATATAAGACGAGGCGATATCTTTTATTTATCTTATCATGTTAGTCTGTTGTTTATCTCATTCGGTTTATGCATAATGGATTTAGTAACTTTACTGTTAACGCCACAGATAAAAACAATATTTATGCGTACAATTTGTCAAATCAAACAAAATATGAGGCGATCGATTAGTGTGATAGGCAATGACAGTGATGTAGGTGATAGAGCAGCTAGTACCGCTGGTAATGGCGGAAATGGTAGTAGAATAACGACAACGGCGACGACAGGACAAAAGAAGGGAGGAAACAAAAATAAGAAGAGGAAGAAGAATCGTGTACGTCCAGCAGGTGTATGCCAATCCTCCCACGAGACAGTTGAATAATCAGAGAGATTGACCGAATCTATCTATACCTGTGTTGTGTCAGTTTTCTTTTCTTTTATGTAATTAAAAGGAAAGTTAAAAAAAATGAATAGCAAAGTATTTAGTTTAGCGCTCGAGGATGATATGTAACCGGAAAAGTTTTATTTTGAAGTTCGGCCCCAGCCCTCGGTCCCGAACATTTTTTTGTCCTGTACCGTCGCTTGATTAAAACAAGTGCTGGCTATCGTTCTAGATTCGGGTTACAGGGTGGGTGCAGTTAGCACTTGAAAGATTAAATCTGCTATTTCTCTGTGTAAAACAAGTCTATTTTTTATTGAAACAGAAAGCACCCATGTCTTCAATACCGATGAAATACCGTCGGTTATCGAAGGGTATACGGCACGCTTAACCAGCAAATTATCGTGCGGTATCAGTAGTACCAGTCGGTCACAGATCGGTAATACTGGCGGTATTTTCATTGTTAACTCATACAATATGAGTTTGAAACTAGGTTGGAACTTTCATTTTTTTAATATTTTTATCGACTGCTTACAAGCGCAGAATGGCTCCCTTAGATAGGAAAAAGTTTGACTCGAATCGAAATTTAAATTTCAACGAGTCTGATAATTAATAAAAAATAATTTTATCTGAAAATAAATCAAGCTTTTTCGATTTTTGGCATTGCTTATATGTAACGGCCGCTGCAAAACAAAACGATGTATGTAAAAACCGGTTTACCGCTCGGTATTTTGTCATATCGTGGTATAGAAAATAACCGTCGCTAAACCACACGTTTTACCGAGTGGTACGGTTTAGCGACGGTAGTTTTTCAGGTACAAGTATTTTCAGACACACAGTATGTGTCTGAAAATACTTGTACCATTGATGATCCATTACCGACAATCGAACCAATTATTAAACATATTTTGGAGTTGGATAATCAATGACGAGTAATCGATAAATTTCAACTGGCGTGGAACAATGACTATGAATATGTGCACCGGCGGAGATAAGAGGCGTGTTATTCATTCATAAATAATGTCATTAAAAGATTGTTTTGCGATAGATAAAATTCGTCATTTTATTGGCGGAGAATAATTCTTATTAGAAAAGGGTTGCAAATGCGGTAGCTATTATTTCTCTTTTAGATATATAAATCCCCCAATACTTTTCCTTGTTTGCAGAAATACCCATTATCAAGAAGAATGAAGAAAAGATGAACATTTAAAACAACTAAGAGATCAAAATACGATTACAGTGAAGGTGAGTGTGTGTTCGTCATCCTTCGCTACTTATTCTTGTTGTTATTAAACATGTATAGTGTATGAATGGATGAATTTATTTCTGACCGCATAACAGATATAAAAAGATCTTTAAAACAAGTGAGAAACTCTAACGTCAGACTAGCTATGGTTTACTTCCTGAAGAACGTGGATATGATACGTTACTGAATAGGAGAAATTGTGAGCATGATTTTAACGGAGAGCACCAACCTTTTCGCATTATCAACTGTAATCTCTCTTATATACAGGAAAACTCTAATTTTGTTCGAAGTCTCATCTTTTTTTACTCTGATCAAAACTGGAATTTTGATTTCGTCCGGACAGTATTGGAGCTTTAATTTTGTCCGAAGAACTATGGTGAAAACTAGAATTCTAATTTTGTCCGACTGAAATTAGAATTTCAGTTTGATCCAGACAAATTTGAAATTTGACAAATTCTAATTTTGTCCGCAACATATATACATAACTGCTGTTCTGTTCATTTTTTCTCATAAGGTCAAATGAAAATCTTTGTTTCTGTCGCGTATATATCAGGAGAGAATATGAGTTTTACTCGTTTTACCCTCCACTGTGATGATCTATTGAATTCTGAATCCTATTCGTACTTGAAGATATCATGTTTTAAATCAAATAATTTTATATCTGGTTCGTGTTCAACATTTTAAACTCATACCAGTTTCGCATGTTAACTGAAGAGTTAGTTGGATCAATTATTTTTGGACTATAGAATAACAACTGTAGTTTGACGTATTCATCACAGAAACTCGTATAGCACCTCATGTTAAACAGTTATTGAAGACAGATTTATCAGTTAGCCCATGAACAGCTTGATCGACGATTAGGTCTACTTTTTGAAAGATGTAAATACGCTTTGGAAAGCAAGTATGGAAAGTACGTTCCATGGTCAATTCTTTGATTATCGGTTTAACAACCAAGCGTAATGAAATTTATTCAGCTTTACATACTAAATGACTTAAACATTAATATTATTTAACCTGACTAATATTTGTGTTTTTGGCTCTTAATACGAAGCTAAAATAATAACATGTCTCATTCAGAATTAATTTGTGTACAAAAAAAAATCTTAGCTGTTTTAAAGTAGTATTGATAGTCGTTCTTATAATATTCTATACAGATCTTTGACTTTTTGTTTACATTTAGTGGCGTTTTGTATTCGTTCTTGATCGAACATATCCACTTGTGTTACAATCGACCAAAATAACATCTGAATTAATATTTGATGCTTTTCATTCTTCAACGTAATTACAATTGCAATTGGCATAGATTGTAGCTATTTGTCGTTGTATGTGGAAACCACAAATATCCATGGCCATCAATAATTTTTCGATTGAATATGAGGTGATACGAATAATATCTCCTGATATATACGCTACAGAAACAAAGATTTTCATTTGACCTTATGAGAAAAGGTGAACAGAACAGCAGTTATGTATATATGTTGCGGACAAAATTAGAAAGTGGGGTGAGTTTTGAACTTAGCCCTGGACCGGCTGTTTTACCGTCGCGAGTTCAAAACCCATCCCCCTTAAATCTGTACACAGCAAATCTTGGGATGATAAATGTATTGGGCAGAGTCTAAAAATCCTATGGTTCCGCTCCTCTTTGTAATGGCAAAGCGGTTCATCGGTTCAGGCTTACGGGAATCCATCGACATTAGAAACCAGATAAATCATATCTCCTCTATAGGGAGGCTAAGGATTTCCCTATAGACTCTAAAACCTTCTAAGAGTAAGAAAATTGTGTGTACAAATGTCTTTCGACCCAAAGGAATTATCTATTCTCACCGATGCTTAAGGGTACTACTCTAGAACGCTGGGGTCTTAGAAAACTATGGCTTTTAGCACGCAAAGCGTTTCCTCGGAAGATCCTGTAGATTCGAAAGATTTTTGACCTGAGTATTTTATTTAGTTGGTTTTCTGGAAAATCAATCTGTGAAGGATTGATTGCTAAAAGTTCACAAACTCCTGCATTTGTTCAGGTTTTGATTCTCTATCGAATGATGGATTACCGAGTTTTACAGTATTTATTACTCAAAGAAAATCTATTAACTCTAGTCCTGTTATTCTTTTAGCCTAAACGTTAACTCGTTTCCTCCAACATCAATCAATAGTCCCGTTGAATAAGCCAAACTATAATTTATTTCTTCTGGAACTGGAGCAGTTGAATCATTTGATACGTTTGTTGTACGTGGTATTTTGTGATGTGAAACCATATCAGCTTGAATTTTCTCGTGTGCGTTTTATCTGATGAAAATTCATTTTGAGTGGAATTGTGTTGCTCGTAAGATATTGCTGTTGTTGATTCATTGACTTGAACAAAAACATTCCAGTTTGTATATGTTGCCGAACTAACTTGGAACTAATCACTAATCAAGGCTTCTAATGTCTCATATTTGAGATGAGTTGCACAAAGTCAGTTTTATCATCTCTCAAAAATAAATAATAGAGGGCACATGGATGTGTGTTGATATTTTTATATTTTAATCTCTTTATTATAAAAATGTTGTTGATCCGGTTTGCAAAAGAAATGAAATACCAAGATTAAGTCAAAACATTTACACACAACAGCAATATATTTTTGAGAAAAAGTTTTAAAGTTTAACATTGACATTTCCGTTTGTGTCATAGTGATAATAAAGCGTATATTTATCTATTACCCAGGAAAATTTTGCGGAAGATGACCGTTTACTAAAGGGATTTATTTCGATTATTTTCACTTCATAATTCGTTGGATCTATTGAACAATCAACAACTGCATGACTATATGGAATCGCCAGTATAATATCTTGAAATGATTTTGAATTTATAAATTCTATCACTTGTTTTTCATTGTCTATAGGATCTTTATTGCACCCATATGCTGATACAGCATTTACCTTTCCATTGCAAACAAAACATCGATACTCATTTGACATGTGATCTATCCATTTTCGTAAAACGAAATTCCATTGAGAAGAAACTTCTTTTAAATCATCACGAATACGATTACTAGTTTTGAGGAGCACTTTAAGTTGGTTGATATTTTGAATTTTCATAAAATGTACACTCGGATCTTCATCGCATTTCAAACCCCACACAGTAGACCATTCACCATTGATTTCTTTACACAGAGCTTAAACAGAAAGCCGTTGGCAGATTTATTGAGACGGATTCGCTGGTTAGAAACAAAGAACTCTTTATGAAAAGAGCCCTTTTTCTCTGAAAATGAGTAAAAACAAACAATTGAATTAACCTACTTTCAAATGCGTCCTTTGGACTTCTATGCATTTTAAAGAATACATATCCACCTAGCTCATGAATGGCTTGAATTACTTTCTCTTCTAAGTCTTTTAAAAGAATTCTTCCATCCAATAAAACATCAACGTCTTCTTTTGTCAAATCAATAATTCGTGATTCTATGGTGAATGATATAATCTTCTCATAATAAACATCAAAATTGTAGAGACATTCATAACACATGTGATTTAAGTTTGAAATCGTCTGTTTACTCTGAGACTGAGCATTATTCATCAATAAGATCAATAGTTTAAAACAACCAAATCTTACACAATCATCATATGAAACACCCAGTGTTAACAGCATGTCTTCCGAATGAAATGCTAAAGTTAAAGAAAAAATTCTGACATAGGGTTTATCGCTCGATGATGTTCACACTTATTAAATATCGAAAAAGATTCTATTTTCTTAAATTTCCTCGATTTGATAAACTAAAAAATGAGATGTGAAATACTTTTGTGAAAACTGCATAAAGCAAGACAAGCGATTCACGTACCGTTCACTAACGCATTCTTTTTATTATTTTTCGTCTAGTTTATTGTGACCACCAACTAGAGCCCTGCGGGATCGGGCTAGGAGGGCAAATATTTACGGGACGGGATCGGGATTTTCCTTTTTCAATTTATTGGAAGAGACACATGGAAGAGACACATGCTGTATAAATGGTTCTATCATATTTTTTTCCACTAGTAAAAAAGAGAAAACATGGACTTCCATACACTCTTCAATTGGTTAGAGAGGCTATATTGAGCTTTTTACATATCTTACTTTTGGTAGCCAGCTAGCTTTCAACGAATGCTGAAGTTATCTGCTATTGGTAGCTGTTATTAGCAGATAACTTCTTTCACCGATAAAGTAAACAATTAAACACACAAGAAACTGTCGTCCTCACACAACAGTCAATCACATTCTTTCTTTCATCCTGTCTCATCCTGTTTGTATTTTAGCGAAAAAAAATTTCGGGATTTAACGGGATTGTAATTAGGCCTACGGGACGGGATCGGGATAGGGACCGGCAAAAAGAATTTTTCGGGATCGGGACGAAAAAACTCAATCCCACACAGCTCTACCACCAACAGCATTCTATCCGTTTTTGAATCTTTACGTTTTCTTCTATTTTCTTAGCCATCCAGATCAGACAAAACGGTCCTTAAACGGCAATAAATGATTAAAAGACGATATATTTACGGGGTCTATAGACTAATGGTAAAAAGAACAATATTAAAGGGCTAATATTAACAATCAATTTAGTATTGACATCATCACCAGGTTTAATATTTATTTTTTTTAAAAATCTAGTTAAGTATGTTTCTATTTTACAACAAGAAAAAGATTTATAAGTCCAGACAGAAAAATATCTAAATAAGGCACAAAAATATTAAATTGATTTTTAATATTAGTCGTTTAATATTTTTCTTTTTAACATTTTTCGGTATACCGATATTTACTGTGATCCGTATAGGTTACCGTATACGAACGTCCACTTATAGCATATTTTACGTTTGATATGAGCCGTTTTACGGGTGTGTGTACGGAGATAATACGGACCGTAATACTGCGTACACTCTGACGGTAAAATACGCACTGTTAACAGTCAGTATTTCGCCGTTTACGGCAGTAATGATGCCGTTTTTCTATCGTTTACTGCTGTATTACGGACCACAAGCGGCACCGTTTTGACCGGCCTAGACAGGTCTATCAATAAATAAATATTGGTTTTTAAGATGACAAAACAGTTTAAAGATGCACAAACAAAAGGCATCAAACATAAAAGTTTTGTGAATCTTCAATAAAACCTAACTTTCGTTAACAAAACCAATGGTGCGAAATAAGTTTACAAGACTATCCTGTCCTGTGGTCTGTTTTGTTTCTCTTACGAATGTTGCATTAGAAACAAGAGGATGCTGGTACTGGTAGTAACTTACCCAGATGTTGTTTGACTGATAATGAGTTCGATGTTAATTGGTAAAGTTCATCGATAAAAGTCTGACAGTTGTAACACGTTGGATTCAATGATAAAAATATCCATAACTGATGGGTGTCGTAAACATTGGATAATAATTGTAATTGTCGATGTTCGTCTGATCCATTAAAGTCCTGTATAAAAGCGAATGAGATTTCTTTTGTTATTAATGGTTCTGTGCGAGGCAGTGCTAATGGTGTATAGCTCGTTTGAACTAGTTGAATGAAATAATCGAAATTTTTATTTATTTGTTTGAGATAGGATTTATTTGAAAATATATCTCTTGGCACATTCATGTTGTTTGTTGATTCTGAAAGCTCTACAGATCGGCAAGCACCAATCTGAAGAAAATAATTGACATAGATTGTTTAATACATTTTTCTTTTCATTTCTTTTCTATTCCAGAATGCATCAAACATATTACATGTCATTTTTTTCTGTTTGTTTAATGACTCAGGTGTACACTTAAAATGACTGATGTTGCTATAATCAGAAAACAATGTCTAAGAAGGCAGAACAATCCGATAAAGCAGAGCGCAAAACATAGAGCTCAAAAGCGATTGAATGAGATCAGCATTATGAACAAACTTTACTATAAAAGTCTTACTTTCGGTTGAATATAGAGTAAAACCCATAAAATTTCGATTACTTTGGGAATACAACAAATTGTGACACGTGTTGGTATGATACAAACTAAACTGAATTAGAAACCATGTGCTCGAAAAATTTTATGTATTAAACAGTTGCTATCATTCTTACTTTCGATTTGTTGATGCAGTTTAATGATGAAATAAAATTTGACTTGTAGATGTTTTGACAAGAGAGTTTTGTGTTATGTTTAAACAAAAAATATTGTTTCAAACAGATAAGAGAAAAAGAGAGAACGGAAAAATCTTTTCCATACCTCATTATTCTAGTTTTTCTCCAGAGCAAAGAAAATTTTGACGTTGGTTTGTTCCTTTTGTTTTAAGATTCATTTGAATATTCAAATCAAAAGATCTTTCTCGACATATAATGATTTTACGTTTGCATATGTTACTCTTTTCATGTACGAGATACTTCTTGTTTTATCGTTTTTTCATATTTTAATGAATGGTGAAATTCCTGTTTTCAGTTTCTAGTCGAGCACTTTCCGTTATTTTTAATGCCAGTTTTGAACGATAGATCCCAGAAATGTCGACAATATGTCAGTTTGTTCAGAAGTGAACGCTCTATGCAATCATGTGGTTTGAAATGTGATTGGATAAAGTTTCACTTTAGAGGGATTTATAGAAAAGTCGCATCTTCTAGGGTCTTTATCTCAAAATGACATAGTGTTCCGATAGATTTGTTATTGAAAATGTTTGAGAAGCAGAAGAAGATTATGACTGTCGACTACTGCTAGATACTTCTACTGGCAAATATTAGAGTTAAACGGATGTAAACATTAAATTTCTCAAAAAGCATGTGTCTATCGACCAAACAGAATATACATATTTTACTGATGTATGTTGTCGATTATTTTCAATCATCGAATTGTTAGAAAGATGTTCGCTACACACTCCTCTATACAGCTTGGCCAGTCATCCATCATGTGCTAAACTGATAGTTTTTGCAATTTACAACTGTAGTTTTTTCAAAGACCTGAGGGAAACTAAAGGTAAAAATATATCGAAAAATACTTAGAGGGAAGTAAAGCTCTGCTCTGCATAGGACGAAAAATATTTTCTGACAAAGTCTATGTCATTCGACTCAAATTTTGATGCTGATTTCGTCCATTGTCTTAATTTTGGAAATAACGTTAAGTTTGATAGTGAAAATGGCAAAATACGAGCGAGTTTTGTGTATCACTAATATCGATAAAATGAAATTTCTCAACAACGAAACATAGAACGTAACGTAGAAAAAAAAATTCAACGTGCTGTTATTCTGCATCCATGATGATTGGAACTTAATAGCAAAAAAGGTCGATCTCAAAAATTGTAGAAGGAGATGATGCATTTTACCATTATTCTTTTCGTGTTCCACGTCCGATAATCCCAGTGTATATTTAATTAGTTATTCATGGCCCATCAGAAAAAAATTGTCGTTTTGGAAATATAGACAGCAAAAAAACAGCGGTCGATTATTGTAAAAAGCTGCAAAATTCGATAAATGTCCCAGGTCGATGTAATGATATATAAATGAAACATGTATGGCTCATTTATGATATGAAGTGAAAAATGATCCTATTATGATCCTAAAATGATTTAAATATGAGTGTAAAATTGTATCATATTTGAGTCATTTTAAGACCATTTCATAAAATGAGATAAAAATGATGTATATATGATATAATTTGTAAAAATGACCTATTTATGTATCATCTTTATATCATATCTCTAGGATCGTAGGTGTGACATTTATGTGTCATTTTTACATCATTTTTAACTTCTGATTTAAAATGATCATTTTCCTACAATTATATTAGATTAGTCATTTATGGGACATTATGACACAAACGGAACAAAAACAGAAGGAACAAAACGTATACATATTTGTATAGCCGTGTGATGTAGTGGATAGTATCGTAGACTTCTGATCTACAGGTTCGAATCTCTGCACGAACTGTTTTGTATTTTTTCTTCTTTGCATTTCTTATGTCACAAATAGTCTCAAAATGGTCTTAAAATGAGCTAAAAATGATCTAAATAGGATCGTAATAGGATCATATTTTGATGACCATAATAAGATGATATTTATCTCATAAAAAAATGACATAATTATCGCTATATTATAATACAACAAATGAGGTAAATATGGGGGAGATATGATTTAAAAATGAGCCATATATGGCAGATAAATGAGTCATTGAGGGCTCATCTTTTATCTCATTATTCACGGCCTGAGGTCTACTCAACTAATAATGCCATTTTTCATCGATAAAGTCGTTGTGAAAAATCTGAAAAAGATATTTTCAGATTCAGAAAAATTCAGAAAACTTGACGAATCTCTTTTTTCGAAAAACCACTAACTTTTATTAAAAACTGAATAACTTGGTTCGACCTCATTTCGAAGCCGTGAAGCTATATTTTTCTTATTCACCGTCGAAAACTACATCTAGAAAACTAGATTTCAAGGTTCAACACCAAAAAGTATTTGTTGAGCGCGAAACGGGACCGATATATCTTCGGTTTCGAGACCCTCATCTTGCAAACCTATCGCAGCTCTTTGCACATGAAGCCAAGTTTCATACGTCATTCGATTCGTCTCGAAACGAAGAAAAGAAGTTTGAATCGCTTTTTATAAAAATGTTTTTCGTTCTTGAGATATTTGAATTTTATTAAAATTTAGGCGTTTTCGCCTAAAATCGGGCAAGTCGTTTTTCGTTAACTTTTTCATTTTTCATCGAAAACTTTCAAACTAACAGAGGGAAGAAAGGATGCTAGATCTAATGAAAACATTTTCAAGATCTCGAGGTGATTTCGGATAAATTCCTTTCCTTCTTCACAAGCAGTGAGGGTTTTCCAAAATCTTCTACACAATTTCATGTATATTTCTAAAAGTTAACGAGAAACGACTTGCCCGATTTTAGGCGAAAACGCCTAAATTTTAATAAAATTCAAATATCTTAGAACGAAAAACATTTTTAAAAAAAGCGATTCAAACTTTTTTTCTTCGCTTCGAGGCGAATCGAATCCAGTTTTCTAGATGTAGTTTTCAACAGTGAATAAGAAAAATATAGTTTCACGGCTTCGAAATGAGGTCGAACCAAGTTATTCAGTTTTTAAAAAGAGTTAGTGGTTTTTCGAAAAAAGAGATAAGATACCTGGTGAATAACAAACAGAAACTGTTACTAGACGCGTTTCTGACTGCTATTAGCAGAGATAGAGAGTGATACGAGAACAAGTGCCTTGGCTTGAGAGTCCTTGAACCCAACTTCAAACTTTAATTTATATGGTTGAATGTTTTCTGTATAAAAAACGCTTCAACTATTTTTTGTATTTTATATATAAATAACGTGAATCGCATCGATTCACTCGGTCCATTGACTGTAAGTCGAATGAATATCGTGTCGAGAATATTCTTCATTTTATTGTAACTGGATCTTGTTACTACAGAATTGAGCAGAGATGTAGTTTTCCCATTCCTGTCA